CCCCCCCCCCAAAACCAAAGTTGGTGCCTATGTCCTTAATTGCTTTGGGCTTGTCTGCATAGAGGACTTAAAGCTTCTCTTGCCAAGCACTGAATTTAGACTGCACTAGCTGCCTCTCACTAACACCGCATGTGGTCTCTTTTAGTGTGTGGTAGCTCTGAAAATGAAGCAAGCTACTTTGCCACCAGTTTCTTTAGGAGACAAAAACCTACTAAAAACCCCATATAACTTAGGGTGAGAATATAGTTTATTGCCGTTGTAAACTGGGTGCTGTCTTCTAAGTTTCTGGCTGATAATTAGTTTTGGGATGTGAATTGATTGCTGATATTCAGTGTGAGCTCCTAAGGATGTGAACTCAACATTTTGGATCTCTATTATAATAACAATATATGTGTTAATGAATAGTTTCATTCATATATTTCTTTCAAAGTTTAGAAAAAAATTCTAATGATTGCTTAAATTTTGATTATGCTGAGGAGTGTATTCAGCTGTTGAGCAACTTTTAATAATGTCTTTATTATACTTGAAATCAGTTATTACTGTTTTCATTAGGATAGCATCTAGTAATCCCAGGTCCACTTTGTGGTAGATGCTATAGGTATGCTTTGTAAGAGATAGTCCTTGCCTTAGATTGTCTGTGATCTAAGTAGATACTAGACATGTGGACAGAGAAGATTACTTATTGTCTTTGTTTCTCAAGTGGACATAAGAAGACTGTAGCAGCTGGGAAGTGATTCCTGTCTCTTGAGACTCACCTTAATCACAAAATATTACTCTCAAGTTACTGAACTGAAGCATATTTATATAACAGTCAAAGAAATAAATGTAACTACATATATAACTAAATTATGAATGTAACTAAAAAAAGGGGGAGAGAGGTCATTTTATGACTAGAAAGAAGATCCCATTATTTCATTGCTGGGAAGAAAAATCACCCTCATAGAATAAAAATGGAGAGCCTTAGGATGGGTCTACCCAACATTTTACCAAGGTGTATTATCCCATAGAATAACATCTTTCATAGGTAACTTGCAGAACATAGGGAAGTCCTAAACTATCTTTTTCTCCTAGTTATTTTACAATATTTTTCAAAAGACAAAAGATTGTCAAAGGCCACAAACAAGTAATAGGTCATATCAATATAAACACCAATTCTCTGCGATATCATTTATTTTCCCTGCTCAGTCCCCAGTCCAGTTTTTGACATCCAGGCCAGAAATTGAGCACAGAAGTTACTCTATATACCACAGAACGTATGCACTGTGTGTGTGTGTGTATGTGTATGTATATATGTATATGCTTTGTTTTTTCACAAACAGAGCCCAGTCCAGTTTTTGACATCCAGGCCATCGCTATCAGCACAGATAAAGTGAATTTAACCTGGAAGAACAATGATACATCTGCTGATAACTATACCTATGTGATCCTCAAAGCCGGAACTGAATTTCCAAATATCACGGTACTCCAAAAGATGCAAGCTGTCATTATGGGCTTAGAACCTGGTACTCTTTATAACTTCACAATATATCCAGTAGCGCCTGGTAGCACAACTGAAGGAGACCGAAACTCCACAACCGTGTACACCAGTAAGTCATAGAAACTCACGCTGTAGCTTCCTTGCTATTAAACACATCCATTCTTTTCTTTTCGTTCTCCTTTATGTTCTAAGAAATATGTAAATTACACCTGTGATAGACATTATCAATGACGGAAATTTAACTTCCTGGCCTGACACACCCCAAATCATGGAAGCTATAATTACCGGTTTAGAACCTGGTACACTCTATAACTTCACAATATGTCCACTAGCACCAGATAATATGACTGAAGGAGACCAAAATCCTACAACTGTCTACGCCAGTAAATCTTAGAAATTCACACTATGTTGCTTGTCGTCTTGGTCCCATGTACTTGTTTACATAAGAAAAGTACTGTAAGATTGCAGTGCATTTGGTTATGGATTTATCTTTCCATTATAAAAATCGCTTGGTTCCAAAAACATGCTGCATCACCAAATTGAATGTGAGAAATATAGTCTCTAAAGTGGAGCCAGTGTCATATCCATGACAGCACAGGTGTTTGGGTCTGGCTAAGGTGGATTTGTCACGCACCTGAAAAGACACATGGGAGAAGGTGCACATAAGCAGTGTCTCAAATATCTACCAAAGAGGCATCAGCACTGATGGTGAAGAGAGTTTTGCTGGATGCAGGTCCTCTGGGTTATGCTAAATACAACTGATGTGTATACGTGTGCTTGTTTTTTCCTTAAACAGAGCCCAGTCCAGTTTTTGACATCCAGGCCATAGATATCAGCACAGATTATGTGAATTTAACATGGAAGAACAATGATTTAGCTGCTGATAATTATTCCTATATGATCCTCGGAGACAGTGCTTCATTTCCAAATATCACAATATTCGAAAAGAGGCAAGCTGTCATTACAGGCTTAAAACCTGGTACTCTTTATAACATCACAATATATCCACTAGCGCCTGATAATGCAACTAAAGGAGATGGAAATTCCACAACCGTGTATACTAGTAAGTCATAGAAACTCACTCTGTAGCTTGCTTGCTATTAAACACATCCATTCTTTTCTTCCCATGCTCCTTTAGGCTCAAAGAAATATGAATGCACTTATGTTCCAAAGCTGCTATATATTAATCTTCTTGCTTTCGTTGTACCAAAAAGATTATAGTTAGAATAAAAAGTTGGTTATGAAAGCATGAGGGATCACCACAATACACATGAGAAAAGAGTTCATTATATAAAGCCATGTTGAGTCTATATCTTGAGTATAGTGTGCAGTTCTGGTCACCCCAAAAGGGTATACTGTAACTAGAAAAGTAGAGAAAATGGCAAAATAGATACAGAACATGGCTTCCATATAGGGATATGCTAAAAAGGCTGGAACTCTCCAACTTGGAAAAGAGACAGCTGAGGGGGAATCTAATAAGAGTCTGTAAATCTTGAGTGTTGTGGAAAAAAGTGAGTGGGAAACAGTTACGTACTGTGTCTCATGGTAGTAAAACCAGAGGTAGCCAGTTAAATTATTAGGAAAGAAAATGAAAGGCTTTTTTACACAGTACCTCATTAACATGAATTTCTTGCTGTGGGGTATCATGGAGGCTAATAGTATGCTGTATTTACTCAAATCTGAAATAACTCTGAATTTAAGACGAACCCCCATTTATTCGATTCTGTATATGGAAAATGTATAAATCTCTCATAATCTGTCCTGTATAGAAACAAGTGGTGTGGGGAGGTCAAGCAGCGTGTCCCCTGCTTGTGCCTGCTCCCCCTGCCTTCCCCCTGGAGCCTCAGTCCCCCCTTCCCCTCCACCTCTGTACCCCCTCCCCTTCTCTGCAGCCCCTGTTCCCCTTTTTCCCACAGCCTCTGCTCCCACCTCCCTGTGCTTACGTTTGCTGTGTGTTCGCAGTCTCTATGCCCATTTTAGCCTGAGGCACTGAGCAAAGGCCTGGCCCAGCCCTTGTAGCAGCCATGCAGGCTGTGCACTGCTGCTATGGGAATGGACTGGAGCCATGCTTAATGCCCCACACTGGTGTATACAGAGCCTGATGGTGCAGAGCATAAGCAGGGGAGGGAGAGGAGAAGCGGGGAAGCAAAGGCTATGGGGGGCGAGTGGGTAAAGACAGTGGAAATAAAGGCAGCAGGCAGGAGCGCATCATATGGAGGCAGTGAGGGGTGGGTGAGGAGGAGGGAGCAGTCAGCAGCTGCAGCTATGGCCAGACCCTGTATAGGGGCTGGAGCCTGAACCACAGCAGCTGTCTGCCCCCTCACTACCCTCATACTTGATTCTAACTTCAGGTTCTTCTCCCTCCCCCAGCCATGTTATGCTAAATACAACTGATGTGTATACGTGTGCTTGTTTTTTCCTTAAACAGAGCCCAGTCCAGTTTTTGACATCCAGGCCATAGATATCAGCACAGATTATGTGAATTTAACATGGAAGAACAACGATTCAGATGCTGATAATTATACCTATATGATCCTTGGAAACAGTGCTTCATTTCCAAATAGCACAATATTCCAAAAGAGGCAAGCTGTCATTACAGGCTTAGAACCTGGTACTCTTTATAACATCACAATATATCCACTAGCGCCTGATAATGCAACTAAAGGAGATGGAAATTCCACAATCGTGTATACTAGTAAGTCATAGAAACTCGCTCTGTAGCTTGCTTGCTATTAAACGCATCCATTCTTTTCTTCCCATGCTCCTTTATGCTCAAAGAAATGTGCATGCACTTATGTTCTAAAGCTGCTGTATGTTAATCTTCTTGCCTTTGTTATACCAAAATATAGTTCCATTAGAATAGAAGTTTGGTTATGAAAGCATGAGGGATCACCACAATACATGTGAGAAATTAGCTCATTATACAAAGCCCTGTTGAGTCCATATCTTGAGTATGGTGTGTAGTTCTGACCATTCCATTCCAAAAAGGGTATACTGTAACTAGAAAAGTAGAGAAAACGGCAAAATAGATATAGAACGTGGCTTCCATATAGGGATATGCTAAAAAGGCTGGAACTCTCCAACTTGGAAGAGATAGCTGAGGGGAATCTAAAAAGAGTCTTTACAATCTTGAGGTTGTGGAAAATGTATGAGTAATGGTTATGTACTGTCTCGTGATTAGTAGTACAAGAGGCAGCTGATGAAATTATCAGGAAAGAAAATGAAAATTATTTTTTTTCTGTACTCCCTCTTTAACATGTGAATTCCTTTCCATGGGATATCATGGAGGCTAATAGTATGCTGCATTTACTCAAATCTGAGATGACCCTGAATGTAGAGACAGCCCCGCAATTGTTAGATTCTATACATGGAAAATGTAAAAATCTCTCGTAATGTGTCAGGTATAGAATCTATTTTTGTCTTTAATTCTTCTTCCTCACTGCTGCAGGAGGAGGCAGGTAGTGGGATGCAGGTGGTGTGGGGAGGTCTAGCAGCTTGCTACCTGCTTGTGCCTGCCATCCCTGCCTTCTGCCTGGAGCCTCAGTTACCCTTTCCCCCTCCACCTCTCTCTATCTCCTGCCCCCTTCCCTCCCAGTCACTGTTACCCCTTTCCCCACAGCCTCTGCTCCCAACTTCTCCCCCACTTATTTTAGCTGTGTGCTCGCAGTCTCTATCCCCATTCTAGCCTGGGGCACTGAGCACAGGCCTGGCCCATCCCTTGTAACGGCCATCCAGGCTGTGCACCGCTGCTATGGGGCTGGATTGAGACCGTGCTCAATGCCCCAAACTGCGGTGTATACAGAGCCTGATGGTGTGGAGCAAGGATAAGCGGGTAAGGGACAGGGGGAGCAGGAGAACAGAGGTTGTGGTGAGGGGTGTGGGCAGCAGGGAAGGAGGTGGCAGGTGGGAGAGCAGCATGCAGAAGCAATGCAGGGTGGAGGGGAGTTTGGGGCAGGCAGCAACTGCAGCTACGGCCAGACCCTGATCCTGAACCACTGCAGCTGCCTGCCCTCACTGTCCTCATACTGGTTTCTAAATTGAGGTGTGTCCCCCCCGCCACCATTTTATATCGGGAAGCATATCTTAGAATTGAGTAAATATGGTAAGTGTATAGAATAAAAAGGGGTGGGGGGTGGAGGATCAGACAAATTTATGAAAAATGGGTTCATCAGGGCCTATCGAATATAGCAGTGAAGAACATGATGTACAAGTGTTATCTGAGGATACTTTATAATATGGATAAATACCTATTTCAAAAATTCTTCTAAAGAATCAGCTCCTAGACATTGTTAGAAGCAAGATGGTGAGTTTGGACCTTTGTTCTGACTCAATACAACAGTTGTTACTGAATATACCTCAATCCAAATCAACGTTGAATTTAAGATGCCCCCACCCCGCAGTTGTTAGTTTAATATACATGGAAAATTATGATGTTTCTATAATTTCTCATGTATAGAAGATAATCACTGGAGGGTCATATTACATTTGTCCCCTTAAAGCAGTGGTGGGGGGCAAGGTATCAGACTCTGCCCTTTGCCTTATTTGTCCCTGTGCTTGAGCCTGCCATCTGTTTCTTCCCTTCCCCACCCTGATGGTGGCTGCAGTGTTTCACTCCCTATTCCCCACTACCACTTACTTTCTGGGTGGCAGCAGCTCTGACTCCGGATCAGGCAGCAGTGGTCCCAGCCCATTCTGGGAAAAAGCAGTGGTGGCAGCTCCAGGCTCCATCAGATGGGGCTAGAGGGGCTGGAGCTGCATCTTATGGTAAGCAGGGGGAGGGGAGGTAAGGCCAAGTGACCAGGACGGGCCAGGCTACATGGTCTGTCCCACCAAGCACAGCACCGTTTCCATGTGCACCCTCCCGCTTTCACATGAGCTACCCCGGACTGGGGAAAGTAATTGATCAACTCCAACTTTGGTCCCTAAGCTTGGGCAGGATCTGTTGCTGAGCCACCACCTGCCTTTGGCTGGTGCTTAAATCTCGCATGAGGCTTTTTTTTGTCCTCATGGTGATTGTGTTTGGAAAAAACTTGGTCTTGGATTTGAGTAAATACAATACGTTCTTATATTCTTGTAGTCATTGCTATGTGCACCGTGGGCCAGATCCTTGGGTCTGGTCAAGATACTCAAAGTAGGTCAGAGAAGGTGCACATATACAGCTTTTGCAACAAGGTTTCAGCACTAAAGGGGGAAATGTTTTGTGGGAGGCAGATCCTCCATGTTCTGTAAATAGCACTCGTGTGTTATGTGTGTGCTTGCTTTTTCCTTAAACAGAGCCCAGTCCAGTTTTTGCTGTCCAGGCCATACATATCAGCACAGATCAAGTGAATTTAACTTGGAAGAACAATGATGCAGCTGCTGATAAGTATACCTATGAGATAAAGTTTTTCAAAGATGGAAATTTAACTCTCTGGCCTGAGAAACCCCAAATCACGGGAGCTGTAATTACAGGTTTAGAACCTGGTACACTCTATAACTTCACAATATATCCACTAGCACCAGATAACACAACTAGAGGAGATGGAAATTCCACGAGCGTCTACACCAGTAAGTCATAGACACTCACCTTGTAGCTTGCTTGCTATTAAATACATCCGGTCTTTTCTTCCCATATTCCTTTATGCTCGATAAATATGCATGCACTTACGTTACAAAGGTGCTGCATATAAAACTTCTTGCCTTTGTTCGGTGGTCTCCAGCCTTTTAAGGTTGGGGATCACCTTTTGGAATTTAAAAGGAACCTAAGACCTTCCCCCACCCCACCCCTTCCCCCCTCCCCGGCAGGTAAGTCTGTGGGGAGGGAAGGGGAGAGAAGAAAGGGCAGGGGGGCACATAGAGGCCCCAGCCCTAGTCCCACTCCCTCCCTCCCCACTGGGGCCTCAATCTGCCCCCTGCCCCAATGGTGCTGTGGGAGGGAGTGGGGCCAGGGCAATCCCTCCATGTGCCCCCTGGATCTGCATGCGGGGTAGGGCAGGCTGGCACCAGGGCAGCATGGCGCTGTTCGGCAAGGGTGTTTGGTTGCACTGCGCTCGGACTGGGCGGCAGTGGTGGCAGTGCTGGGAGCGGAGCCACAGGGAGCTACAGCCACCCCAAAATTCACTATAGTCCCCCCCGGCCCAAGCGCAGCACAACCAAAGACCCCTGCCAGGAATAGTGCCACGTCAACCCGGTCCTAGCCTACCCTGCCCCACTCTGTGTGCAGATCCAGGGGCATGCACCCCCTGTGCACTCCAGGGATGTGTCCCCGCCTCTCCCTGCACCCCTGGGCAAGCCGCTTGCAGCTCCATCCCCCTGCCCAGCCCCTGTCCTGGCCCCACTCCCTACTTCACAGCTGCTGCAGCCGCTTGCACTGCCCCAAGGTTGGTGGGTGGCATGTGCCCCCTCGATCTGTGAGCGGCAGATGCGTGTGATGTCAGGCCATTCCTGAGCCAGCTGTAGCAGCATCCACCTCTGCCAAGTACAGATGGGGCGGGGGGCACATGCTGCCTCGGGCCTCTGCCTGGGTGCACACAGTGGCGGAAGCCACTCCCCGACCCTTGGATGAGCTGCCCAGCTGGGGCCCCACTTAGCTTATGGACTTCTGCTGCACTCTGTCCCTCACTGTGGGGATCTCGATCTAGCTCCCACCCCTTCCCTTCCCTTTCCCCACCGACTGACCTGCTGGGGAGGAAACTGTGTGTTCATGCATGTGTGTGCTCAGGCCCCCAAGCCCAGGATCGACTGCAAGAGGCTTTGTGTTGGTGACCACTGCCCGGGTTGTACCAAAAAGATTACAGTTCCATTAGAATAAAAGTTTGGTTATGAAAGCATGAGGGATAACCACAACACATATGAGAAATTAGCTCATTATACAAAGCCCTGTTGAGTCCTTATCTTGAGTATGGTGTGCAGTTCTGGCCACCCCATCTCAAAAAGGGTATACTAGAACTAGCAAAGAAGAGAAAATAGTTAAATAGATGCATAACGTGGCTTCTGTATAGGGAGATGCTAAAAGAGAGAGCCCAAAGGGAGCCAGGTTGGCAAGGGGTGAACAGCCACCAGGGAGCATCACAACTACCCCTGAAATGAGCACTTGCTACACATGGCCTATTGGATATAGCAGTAAAGAACATAACCTACAGGTGGTACCTAAGGATACTTCATAAGATGGATCCATACCTATTGCAAATACTGTTCTAAAGAATCGGCTCCTTGACATTTGTCAGAAGCAAGATGCTGGGTTTGATGGAATTTTTGGTCTGACCCAGTACAGTGGTTACCAAATTTACCTGAATTGAAGACTAGTTTGAATTTAACACCACTGCCCCCAATAATTAGAGTCTGTACATGGAAAATTATAAACATTCTATAATTTTCCATGTATAGAAGGTAATTATTGTAGGGTTCTTTCAACTTGTCCCCCTAAAGCAGTGGTGGAGGGCAAGGGGCCAGACTCTACCCCTTGCTGTGCCTGTGCCTGCCATTTGTCTCTTCCCTTTCCCACCCCTTGTGGCAGCTGCATGCTTACACTCCCTACTCCCTGCTTCTGCTTACCTGCTGTGTGGCAGCTCTGGCTCTGGAGCAGTGATTAGTGGTCCCATCCCTGTGCAGGGAAGAGCAGTGGCTGCAGCTCCAGGCCCAACCAGGTTGAGGCCAGAGGGGCTGGAGCTGAAGGTAAGTGCGGGGGAAGGAAGGTAGGGGAAGCAGGCCAAGTGACCAGGTGGAGGGCAGGTCACATGATCTCTCCTACCAAGCACCCCATGAGTTTCCATGCGAGTCCTTTCCCTTTTGCATGAGCTACCCCAGACTGGGGCAATTAGCGGTTCAACTTCAGCTTTAGCTCCAAGCCTGGGGCAGAATCTGGAGCTGAGCCACCGCTTGCCCTGGGCTGGTACGTGAATCTCAGGTGAGGTTCCCCCCGTCCCCCCCATGATGCTTGTGGGGAGAAAACCTTGTTTTGGATTTAAATAAATACAGTATGTTCTTAAATTCTTAGTCATTGTCATATGCACCTTGGGCCAGAAATTTCGGGTCTTGCCAAGCTGCTCAAATCAGAGATGTCCGAGAAGGTGCTCATAGACAGTTTTTCAGTAAGGTTTTGGCACTAAGGGGGAAGTGTTTTGTGGGAGGCAGCTCCTCCGAGTTCTGTGAATACAATTAATGTGTTATATGAAATGTGTTATATGAAAACATTTTGAATCATCAAATTGCATGTGAGAAATATAGTCTTTAAAGTGGAGCCAGTGTCATCTTTGTGATGGCACAGGTGTTTGGGTCTGGCCAAGTGGAGCTGGCACACACCTGAAAAGAGAGGTGGGAGAAGGTGTATATAGGCCAGGGGTGGGCAAAATACGGCCTGTGGGCCGGATCCAGCCTGCCAGGTCATTCTGTCCAGTCCATGGGGCCCTTAAAAAAAAAAAATGTAGAAAATTAATATGCATTTATCTGTCCTTGGTTCCTGTCAAAGGTGACAGGGACCGGGGTCACTAGGACCCAGGGAAAGCCCTGGTGTGCTCCTGCAACAGTAGGACCCATCTGGCCTAGCCCCGCGCCCTTAAGCTGGAAGCCCCAGCAGGGGCTTCTGGCCTGGGACCATGTGGCTCCTTGTGGCTGCACTGGCGTGGGAAACCCAGGTGGGGTTGGGGGGAAGGGCAGGGGAGGACCATGTGCAGGGAACAAGCTAGTGTTGAGCGCAGCAGAAAAGCAGCCCCGCCCCGTGGCCTGTGTTCCCTGCTGCAGCCACTCGCAGCCCATGTGGGGCTGTCCGGAGCAGGCCCAGCACGGGATGCTGGCCAGGGGGCGGGGGAGGGGGCCGCTTTTCCCTGCGCTCAGCACCAGCTTTTAACCCGGCCCTGCTCCGGGCTCACCCATCGGGGTTGCACCGCAGCAGGTACACCTGCGGGGGGGGGGGGGGGGGGGCCGCCCCCCCCGGCCGCTTGCTGCGCTGGGCAGTCTTTGCTGCTGCTGCCTGCCTGGAGCTCCTACACTGGGCGGCACAAAGGCAGCCGTGGCAGCCTCACCACAGCCTGCCACGGTGCAAGCTCTGGATGCGCAACAGCAACAAACGCTGCCTGGCATGGCAAGCCGGGGGTCGCTTTCCTCTGGGTTAAGCAGCTGCTGCCGCCACGGCGCAACACTAATGGGCAAGCCCAGAGCCAGCGCGGGGCCCAGGCTGGCAGCAGGGGTGGGTTACAAGCTGGTGCTGAGCGCGGGGAAAAGTGGCCCCTCCCCCCCAACGTGGCTGACACCGTGCACTGCAGCCACTCGCAGCCTGCGTGAGGCTGCCTGTGTCTGCTCAGGACAGTCCTGCATGGGCTGTGAGTGGCTGCAGCAGGGAGCACTGGCCGCAGGGGGGGGGTGGGGCCACTTTTCCCCCATGCTCAGCACCAACTCATTCCCTGCTGGTAAGTGTGGGGTCAGGGCTGCATGCTGCCCCTGCCTGTACCGTGGGGCTGAGGGGGGCACTGTGAGTGGGTGCAGGAGCCAGTGGGAACGTGGGGCCCACACTGGTGTCCCGGGGCCAGCTCAGGCGGGGCCCAGAGCAGGAGTACAGGGTCCCTGCCGGCAGGACCTCTGTGGACCTGGGCCAGCTCCCCACTCTCCCTGCTGGTCTAGGCCAGCCTGGCTCCACAGACCCCTACCAGCCTGAGCTCCTTTCTGGGTCCCACCAGTGCTGGCCTTGAGACATTGGTCCCAAGATGGTGAGCAGGGGCAGGCACCTGTCAAGATGCGGGGCTAACCATGCGGCCCTTGACAGCTTGCCAAAACTGGGTTTACCAGCCCTCTGCCTGAAATAATTGCCCACCCCTGACATAGGCAGTGTCTCTAATGTCTACCAAAGACACATCAGCACTGATGGTGAATAGAGTTTTGCTGGAAGCAGATCCTCCATGTTTTGTAAATAGCACTCATGTGTTATGTGTGTGCTTGCTATTTCCTTAAACAGAGCCCAGTCCAGTTTTTGCTGTCCAGGCCATACATATCAGCACAGATCAAGTGAATTTAACTTGGAAGAACAATGATGCAGCTGCTGATAAGTATACCTATGAGATACAGTTTTTCAAAGATGGAAATTTAACTTTCTGGCCTGAGAAACCCCAAATCACGGGAGCTGTAATTACAGGTTTAGAACCTGGTACACTCTATAACTTCACAATATATCCACTAGCACCAGATAACACAACTAGAGGAGATGGTAATTCCACGAGCGTCTACACTGGTAAGTCATAGAAACTCACCCTGTAGCTTGCTTGCTATTTAACACATTCCCCTTTTCTTCTTGGCCCCCATCTACTCCCTCTGTGGTCATGGACTAGTTTACATAAGAAAGGTACTATAGATTATTGCAGTGCATTTGTTTATGTAATAAAGATTTATGTTTCCATTAAAAAACATTGGTGATGGAAAATGTCTTCAGGACCAAAACTGCATGCAAGAAATATAGTCTCTTAAGTGGAGCCAGTGTCATATTTATGACAGTGCAGGTGTTTGGGTCTGGCCAAGTGGACTTGGCACAACTGAAAAGAGGTGGGAGAATGTGTACATAGGCAGTGTCTCAGATGTCTGCTAAAGAGACATCAGCACTGATGGTGAAGAGAGTTTTTTGCTGGGTGCAGGTCCTCTGGGTTATGCTAAATACAACTGATGTGTATGTGTGTTTGTTTTTTCCTTAAACAGAGCCCAGTCCAGTTTTTGACATCCAGGCCATAGATATCAGCACAGATTATGTGAATTTAACATGGAAGAATGACGATTCAGCTGCTGATAATTATATCTATGTGATAGAGATTTTCAAACATGGAACTTTATTTCCAAGTAACAAAACATTGCCAAAGAGAGAAGCTGTCATTACAGGCTTAGAACCCGGTACATCTTACCACTTCAAAGTATTCCCGCTAGCACTGGATAACAGGACATGGGGTTACCCAAATTCTACAAGTGTCTGTACAAGTATGTCATAAAAATTTATGCACGTACCTTTTCTCCCTTGTCTTTCTTTGCTCCTTCCCTGTACACCTATTTGTTTATGTGCTGTATATTTTCATCTTGCCTTTGCATATCTGGTATAATAGTTTGTCTTTGAAAACCTGTGAGGTCATTGGATTGTCATATGAGAAACTGGTTTATTTTCCACTAAGCCTTCATTTCACATCTGCAGTTTGTGTTGTGAACCCTCTCTTCCCCCTGCTCTGCAAACAGCACATTTCCTCTTAGTCTGTGTCCCCCACCCCCCAAATTTCCAGAACAGCCACTGTTTTCCCTCTGCCTCTGGTAGCCATAAGAGGTGCAAATCATGATCCAAGTCTGACATTCAAAATAAACCTGAGAAGAGAGATGGGGAAGTGATGGCTTATTTCTTCCTTTAAATTCAGCATAAAGTGCTCAATTCAGTTTAACTACTATTTAGTGCAACCTAGGGATATCCTGGAGGGACTATATTGAAAGCTATTAGTGACCTAAACATGTAGCTCAGGGGTGCAAAACTCATCTGGGGGCAAGATGAGGGGCTTGGGCCTGTTCTGTGAACCAGATTGGGCCCACAGTCCTGCCTCGGGTGTTAGAACCAACGCACAGGCCAGTCCAGAACAGGTGCCTCATGCAGCATGCATCTCAGACTGATGCCATGTGCTGCTTGCAGTGTGCACCCCTTGTGCAGCATGCACTGGGCCCAGCCCAGCCTGGCATGGCATACGGCGCACAAGGCCCATCTGTGGCACGTGTTGCATGTAGCATCCGCACCGAATTGGCCTTGTGGGTTGGTTTCAGCACATGGGGCCAGTCTGTGGGCCTGATTAAGACTGGCCTTGGATCCAGCATGCAGGGCTGGTCCAGCACAGGTGCTGCATGCAGCATGTGCCCCCGACAGCATGTAATGGTTCCAACTCCAGCACCGTGTGCAGCCTGTGCCAGACAGAGCTTCTGTCCCAATGATGTAAGTAGATTGCAGATAACCATACTGCTCCATCTTCTCCCTTTTTTGCAGATGCTGCACCACCGCATGAATTTAAGTGTGAACAAGTGCCTAGAAAGCCTGAATTAAAACTAAATTGGCTATGTCCTCTTGGCAATAATTCTGGCTTCCGCATAAAGATATCTAATGGCATAAGGACTAATGAAAGTTCGGTTTCATCTTGTAAATCAGGAAATGTAGAAAAAAGTATAGACAACTTAACTTATTACACCACATTCTATATTAACATTACAACCCATTCATGTGGGAAAGACAGCCTTCCAGAGCAAAGAACATGTGCTACAAGTATTACTGGTGAGTATGAAAGTTTGAGGTGGGGGTTGGGAGGAAGTATATGGGTCACAAAAAAAAAAAAAAAAAAAAAAAAAAAAAAAAAGAGTTCTATGATTCCATGATTTTATAAATCTTTAGAAGTAGAGTTGGAAGAGACCTTTTGGAGGTCATTTAGTCCAACTCCTGCCAGCCAGAGATCCCAATCCAAGCCATCCTATACAAATCCATTGTCTAACCTATTAGTAAAAGTACACAATCAACCCTGATGCAACCACAAGAAATAATACCTTATCTTGCCACAGGTAAGGTCAGGAGGCAATGGTAGCCAGTATCCTGCTGCTACAAGGGTATTGAAATACACTCAAGATCCCAGGAAGAGGACTATGCTTCTTCCTGCCCCCACTCCCCTCCCAACAGAGAAGGGAAAAGATCCCCACAGTCTGTACCAGTCTGAGACCACATCTGGAGTATTGTGTCTAGTCTTGGGGCCCCCACTACAGAAAGGATGTAGACAAATTGAAGAGAGCTCAGTGGAAGGCAATGAGAATAGGGGCTGGTACACATGATTTCTAAGGAGAGGCTGAGGGAACTGATCTTATTTAGTCTGGAGAAGGGAAGACCGAGAGGGGATTTAATAGCAGCCTTCTACCACCTGGAGGATGGTTTAAAAGAGGATGCAGTTAGACTGTTCTCTGTGGTGGTAGATGACAGAACAAGAAGCAATGATCTCGAGCATCAGCAAGGGAAGTTTAGGTTAGATATTAGGAAAAACTGTCTCACTAGGAGGGTAGTAAAGCACTGGAACAGGTTACTCAGAGAGGCTGTGGAATCTCCATCCTTGGAGATTTTTAAGACCTGGGTGGACAAAGCCTTGGCTGGGATGATCTAGTTCAGGGTGGTCCTTTTTTGAGCAGGGGGTTGGCCTAGATGACCTCCTGAAGTCCCTTCCAACCCTAATTTTCTATCATTCTGTGACTGTGAGGTAGAATTCTTTCCTGGCTTCAAATATTGCAGTCATATCTGGGGTCTGACCTTGAGTGGAGGGGCAAGACCCTCTAGCCAGGAACCTCTGGGTTTCAGTCTCAGCAAACACATTATCACATCCCAGTCAAAATCCCCAGCCGTGGCTGCTACCAACACCTAATATTTCTGAGGAAGGTGAAAAAAGCCCCTGACATGTAGCAACAGAAGTGGAAAGTATTTCTTTCCAGCCCCATGTGGCAGCTAACAAATCTGAGAAGCATGAGGAATCCCCAGAAGAGAGGATAGGCACAATGAAGAACTTGCAGCGTTAAACAGTGAATCTGAAAATTCAAGTCATGAGTAAAATGCCTTATTTCCCT